TAATAAAAAATATTCGTATTAAAACTCCAACAATATAAACTATCCATATAAAATAGAAGTATTAACTAGCAACATATATTAAAGGTAAGAAGATATTCTTGATAAAACTATTGGAGAGTCTTGCACCTTCACTATGGTTATCAACCTTTTAATATGGTACTTTTTTTTAACCAAAAAAAGAAAAGAGAACATATGTCGTACTTTAAAATTTTTGAAAGAGGACAAACTAAAGCAAAATATGTGCTTCCTATACATAAAAACCAAACAACAACAAAAAAAATCTTTCACATACTCAACAACTTTTTTGCAATAATCAGAACAATACAGAGAAAGATCTAGAAAAATGCATTAAAAAAATATCACATTATGGAATCAAATAGAAATAATAATCTAATTGATATAGAAGATTACCATAAAGGTTTTGCTCATTGATCAAATTGTAATCACAAATTTATGAATAGAGCACACAAAATTTAGGAACATTTTCATACTCTTAAACAATGATAAGGTTCCCAAGATAAAAAAGAATGGTGAAAAAATTAAAAAAAAGACAACATAGAAACTATTTCCAGCAAGTAAATTATTAGCTATGTATAGGAATAAACTCTTACTTTTTGCTTGTCCTTTTCCGATTCTTGTTTATCCTTTTATTTTTTTTCTGTTTCTGATAAACTCTAATACATGTGTTTTTAGTCAACGATATAACAGAGAGTTTTGGGTTTGAGGGTGAAAAGAAGAAGGAAGTCAAGTTTGCAAGCAAGATTCACATGAGGCTAGCCAAGATGGTCTTATTTTGTGAAAAATATGCTTAAATTAAAATGTTCAATGAACTGAGATTTGACTACAACAAATAAATAATAAAAGAATGAAACTTGATACGATTCCACAACCTTAGATTGACGACTATGGCTTTGATCCAAGCATATCTTATACTCCCACCCAACCCAAGCAAACTAAAATACGTAAAGAAGACATTGGGGAAAAGGACAATAAATGATTAAAAACAGAAATTACTTTCGGCTTTTTACTTGTGAATATTTCGAACTTTTACATATTGTATTCGAGTTTCACTTATAGTGAATTTGCTTAAATCTCACTTGTAAAAGATATAAAGTTTTTCGTATTTTTTAGGGTATTTAATAATAACTTTTTTCTTTGCCGACTAAATATTGATTAGTTTTGAGATGGTAGTTAAATTTTTATTGAAAAATATATATTTCTAGCTGCTGCTAAAAATAATAGCTAATAAAATATATTTCTTTTGCATATATTACTACTATATATAAGGGACAATATAAAAAGTTTTGTAGTCCTTAGTTATATTGTAACTATTTTGTTAGCTTTCCAACCAAAAAGGTTTAACCTTTCAAATAGGTCCTTGTATTTGCTATTTATTACTTCATATACTAAAATATATTTCCAGTAAATCAAGATACTTTCAAACCCTTTTTGGTAGTACATAGCTCCTTAACCTAACTTTTTTGCAGGTGAAGTATGTACCATAAGTTTTTTGCCCCTACTTTATTTCTTTTTTGCTTAGGTTCCTATAATTAATTTGGTAAATATATTAAACTTTGAGCCCTTCAAAAATGCTTGAAAAGATGTGAACATGATGAATAATTATGCACAAAGATAAATCTAAAATGTTGATAACAATAACCTTGAAGAACTCAGATATTGGGAAAGTATTTTGTCAATCAAATTTTCTTATTAATTCTAAAATTATAATTAAATATCTTTTTGATCTTATTTTTAATAGAAAAATTATTTTGAAAATATAAATTTAGTACAATAGAAAATAAATTTCAAAACCTTTTAAAAATTAGTAGATTAGAATCTTGAAAATAAAATAAAAACTATTTAAATTTTATCCAATTTACTTAATTAAGTGGGATAGAATAGAGGAAAAGGGAGAGATGCTTAGCAAGTGATCAACTTATAATCTCGTATTTATTAAATATGGCTGATGGTCACATGCTATTGAAACAAAGATATTTTTTGTTTCTTAAGGCAATTTAATTTGTCAAAAATCATATAAACTTTAATTGGTTGGGTAGCGAAATTTTCTTTTAAAAATAAAGCATTAATGAGTTAATGACAAACTAAGTTAATTCTTGGACTTTGTTTTAATGAATTTGGGTCTTTCTGAATTTCATCTAAACCTAGACTTTAATCACCATATTTTTTCTAGCATAAATTATGGTCATATGAAATTATGAGTAGTTAATCAATAAATGCCAAAATAATTTATTAAAATATCTTCTTTATTTCTACCTCTAATTAGAAATTATATGCCCACAAATTCATCAAATATCAAAATATCTTCTTTAATTTATGATTATAGTCCATTTGGAATCATTTTGCATACTTTAAATTATATTATTAAATATCAAGTTACATTTTTCCCTTTTATATCTGCTTATTCCTTAGCACATTTGCTTTCTTATAAATATTTTTTAATAAATTATCTAATGATATGATCAGAAAACATAAATAATGAATAATAAATGATTAAGCGATAATCTTAAAAAAGTTATGCCTAAAAACGTAACAATAAATTATTATTGTTGTTGTTGTTATTATTATTATTATTATTATTATTATTATTATTATTATTATTATTACCTTGTTTTGGGCCCGGGCTCAGCACGAGCTTTGTAGAACTAGTATATGAAGATAAATTTTCATAAAGCACTATCTTTTAGTAGCAATTAGCCATCTATAGATACCACTTGCTATATTACAGATTATAGATACCTTTTTTGTGGTTATAAAATATATTTGATGTATTTAAGCTATTGTATTCATGAATATAATAACAAAAATAGGTGTGAATCAGTGAAATCCAGCTAATCAGTTGTTGTATTCGAGTGCATTCGACTGTATTCATGGAGAGAAATATGGGATTACAGCTGGACATACCATTGTATTCGACTGTATCCACGGCATGAAATAGGGGATTACACTATTTTTAATATTGAAAGTGAATCAATTAACATAATAGACTCCTAATATAACTCAAGGAACTCAATTATAACACACAAAATTTGTATTTTCAGTTATAAAAAGATTCTCAAAAAATACTCCAAAAACATATCAATCTTCAGAGAAATTATATAATATATCTGAATACATAAATTATATTAATTAAAAAATACATATGAATACATTCATGGCATATAGCGAGACAGTGAATACAAAAAATACATAGAATACAGTGGGATACACTGAAATACAATGAGAAAAAGACAGTAAATGCAATGAAATACAACGAGATACATTGAATTACAATGAAAAAAAAGACAATGAATACAATAAAATACATGAAAATACAGCGTGATACGCTGAAAATACATTGAAATGTATTACCAGAAAATCAAGTTGCTCAGCCCCAAAATCTGTCGTCTTTATTCAAAAACAAATCCTAATTTCCAGCTACTCCTATTGCAGCAGATGCAACAATAACGTCACAAACAACAACAACAACAACAGGAAGCCATGGCTCGTTTCCCTTCTAACACCGACGTTCATCTCCGTCCTCAGCAGCTCCTTCACCGTCTGGGGTCAAATTCTTTGTTTAATACTTACAATTGGGCCTTTGGGGTTAAGAAATCGTTTTTTCCCATTTTTGAATTTGGGAATTGAGATAACCAAGTTCAAATCTGACGAAAAATCTAGGAGATGAAAGGAGACAGAGAGAGAGAGAGCCGTACAACTAGATTTCGCCGGAGAGGAGGAGGTTGCCAAATCCCAGCCAAGAGAAGTGGTGGTCGGTCAATGAATCCGGTATTATTTGGAAGAGAGAATGATATGTATCATATTAGAGAGAGAAAGAAAATAGTGTAACTGAATAGCGTATTTAGTGGCTTAGGGGTAGGAGGTACCAAAATTAGATATTTTACTATAAACAGTAAAAGGTATTATAGAATATAATTTTTTTAAATGATATTTATTTAAAATAAATAAGATGTTAACCTTTGCTATAGGAGGTAAAAATTCCTATATATATGGCTAGCAAAGTATTTTGAAAAGGGGCTATTTGCCCATTTCTCTCAGGGCTGACTAGTCACGCCCGCTTCGATAATTGGTGGGCCGGTTCGTGGGCTTAAAATCGTCACCGAGTTAATATATATCTAATTTGACCTTTATGCCCTCTTTATTACTGAAATGATGTTCTTTCTCTCATATAAGAAGTGGCATGTTGCGGGGTACAATGGTAATTATAGTGGTCTTAATCAATGTTCTATAGAAACATGTGTTGCTGCTTAAGTAACCATAGTAGGGCTGCTCGGTGGGCCGGGCCTGAACCGGGCCGGGCCTGCGGTCCTAACGGGCCTGGTGGGCCGGTCCTGGTGG